CTGAACCTGAATGTGACCTCAAGCAGTGCTATTGCAATAAAAGGGATTTCCCTCTTTTCCTTCTCATTCTCTTCCTCTCTTAGAGATGAATCACACCAGCCGCAGGACCATTTAGGGCTAGAACCTGATAACCAGGTTTTCGGAACTCAGTTGCTATTATTGTTATATTTCATATCAGTTTTGTGCACTGGTGTAATTGTCTTTGAATTAGCACTTTTAAGCTCAGGGTCAGCCAGGTCCTTTGAGGTAAAGGTGTTGCCAGAATATGAAGGGTGTCACCTTTCGTTTTCATATCTTTTATAATTACATTCTTAGGGATTAATATTTGGAAATGATGATGGTAATTAATGTATTTATTTATTGTGTTGTCACAGGGCCTTGGCACTGCAGTCAGGAACCCATTGTACTTATTGCTATAAAATCAATGTACAAAAAGATGATTGCAAGTGAATTCTTGCTGGCCCACTGATGTGGGGAGGAGAGGGGAAAGACCTATACTATAAACACAACCCCTAACTAAAGTGCTGCTTATTTTTCAGCTTATCAAGGAAAAAGATAGGAATCATACATGTTTAGATATCTCTGGTGTGTACTAGCAACAATGATTTCTTGCCTTGTCAGGCTTTTCCTGAGAGGTAGTGGCTTCATCATAGGTGCGCATTTCCCCCAGGCTATTCATTAGCTGCCAGGTAATATGTGATGTCATATATAATTCCTTGCTCACACTCATTTCCACTCATTCTTCCCTCTAGGGCTACAACTGAGGGGGGAGCAGTACCACGTATTAAACTCTTGGCCGCTGTTTCATGTGTATATCAGGCACAGCAGGAAAACCACACCTCCAGTGCTGAATCACTTAGACCCTGATCTTTAACAGTAGTGCACCTAACTCCCACTGAAATTATGCTAGATGAGAAGCACTGAATGCTGATGCTTTATGGAACACCTTGCTTTCCAAGACAGCACAGAACCTACAGGGAAAAAGCCCGAGAAAAGACTAATTAGGAGTGAACTACAAAGTTGTAAATGATAACACTAGGACTATCCTGTTTCCAAGCACAGCCCTGCTTCAGTGAACACAAGGCAGAGAATGAGAGGACAGGTGAGTTTATAATACCCACTTCTGAAAGACCCACCTGTTCCATGAAGCATTCCCGGTTTCGGCCTGATAATGGAGGATGCTGAGCAACACCAGCTCCCAATGAAGTCAATGCAAGTACGAGGTGCTTGGTACCTGAGGCAGAATTCAGCATCTCGGAGAAGAATGTCTGTGATCACTATGTGGTGCGCCAGTGCACTGAATGGTATTTGTTCCTTTAGGTTGGAAGCGCTCAGGGCTGGACTCTGATATCTGTCCAGCACAGACTACTTCCATAATAACAGGAGGTGCATTACATATTGTGGCTACTGGACTTTTCCATTTAGCAGTTGCATTTAATAACACTATCGTCTTAAACTATCCGGTACTTAATTAACATAACATTGTTTATATAATAGGTGTGCCTGAACATTTCCAAACCATACCCTTCCCTGATACGATAGATCATGATCCTCACATAACTGACTGACTTTATATAGACAAGTAAGGACCACACAGGAACTGCAGAGCTGGCTTGAGACACATTACAGCACTAAAGGCCCATGTCTAGATCCCCAGCTTCTGGAGTCACATTGACTACATCAAGCCCAAGCCTGCATTTCTGTGCTTCATGAAACAAGGCTTTCTGAGAGGAAAGTCTGAATGCTGAAAAGAGTATAACCACAGCAATAACAGCTGCTTGAGTGTGGAGACAGATTGAAACAAAAGCTGTGAATGGGTTGAAAAGATTCTGCTCTTCACAGTGAGTCTCTGCTGAAAGTAGAAACTCTATGGGTGACAGGAAGAGAGCACAGTGGTCCTGGCTCACTCACCCACATACAGACATCCTCCAACAGCTGAGGTCAATACTATGAGCCACCTATCTCCCTGTCTCTATATGGGGACAAGCATGTGACCACACCACTCATGATGATGACTACTACTGCTACTCAGGGAGAGAAAGGGCCCCTGACAAGTGCCAGGCTAAGTGATGGATGGAGCCATGATCATGGCGAAGTGATGAGCACCTTGGGTATCAGACAACCTCATTACAACCTCATTACAACCCCAGATTTGCGAATAGCCACTTCTGCAGTCAAGGCAAGAATCGCAGAACTGTAGGGTGGGAAGGGACATCAGGGTCAAGCCTGCCAGCTGTACCACCAATTTTGTAGCAGTACAATGGTGTCACATAGGGATGTAATTTTATATAATTATACAAGCCCTCACATGGACACAGCCCTATAGTGGTATAAAGATGCCTTCCTGTGGGATAACGCGTTGTACGGATACAAGTACCATTACACCCGTTGAGCTTCGACGACACTGGCAGGAGGCAGAGCAGCACCATTTCAGGTCTCCGGGTGTCTAGTTAGAGCAGTACAGCTTCTCCGGCTCCATAAGACCTCTGTGCAGCAGCAGAAGCAGCTGCAGGCTTGGGACACTTTTCATTCAGAAGGCATTTTGCATTTAGCCATTAGGCCACGCATTCTGATTTAAGGGCATGCCCACGTGGCCATGCCTGGGGCTAAATACAGCAGCAGGAACCACAGCGGGCTGCTGAGCCCACGCTTGGGTTTGCCACATGGAGCTCCCTGGGCTAGCACCAGCAGGGGACACCAAAGGCAAGGAGTTTTGCATGATGGCTTGTGCTCCCCTCCTCCCCCCCACTTCACTACAAAGCCCCTCCCATACACACAGGTAAGGGTCTTTGAGTATCTGTGGTATCTTTTCTTAGACCAACTGAGTAGTTGGGGGTGGGGGGAACAAGTGCTTAGCAAGCTTTGGCGCGCAGCCACCCTTCTTCAAGCATGGGGAGTCTGTGAAGCCTTGCCCCAGGCAGAAACCCCCCGTGGCTGCAAAGCAGAGGGGAGGGGAAGGAAAGTCTGAATGCAGCCACCCGGCCTCCCCCCGGACCCAAAACGCCCCGGGCTGACTCAAGAGGGGACAACCCAGAGGTGCAGGGAAGGAATTTCTCCCGGCAGCAGCAGGTAGCAGGGCCCGGGCGCCGGCGCGGGCGCAGGGGGGAGGGCCAGTGCCGGGCGCAGGCGCAGGCGGCGCCCCCTGGCGGGCTGAGGGAGTCCCCGCCGCCGCCGCCCGGGCTGCGGGTGTCCCATGTCGGGAAGGCCCCCGC